TATTTTAATCATTTTAATATTAAAAAATCTTTTCTAAAAAAATTTACCAAATAACTTTTCATTCTATAAATACTTCTATACAAAATTTCACTGAACACTATTAATTTCTCAAAATTAACACTTTTATAATATATTCTTTTTAACATAATTTTTATTAAAAGTTTCGGTCACGCCAAACATACGGAAAGCTTGATGCTCCAAACAAGGCAAAAGGTACCCATTTGCCCTTCAACTTTTCGAATTTGAGGTATTTTATCCCTCATATTACAATATATGATTTTTTATCTTTCATGTTTTTGAGTTTAGGAAAATAAAGCAAAATTTAACACCGAAAGATCATATGCGACATATGCATCGTTAATTTTCGTTATACTTTAATGTGTTAATGTCAACTCAGACTTTTTTACATACTAGCAAGTTCACCTTGGACTTTATGATAATAACATAAAAAAAAAAATAATATGATAAAAAAAAAATTCCTTTTTTTTTTTTTTTCTCCTTTCTCCTTTCCTTTCTCTCTCCCTTGGAACCCAATAGAATTCATCAGCAAAGAGAAGCCCTCCATGAAACCTAGGTGCGGGTTCTATGTAACCCACTGGCAAAAAAATTTTAAAAAAATTTCCTTTTTTTTTTTTTTGTATTCTGTGGGTTTTGTTTTTTTGATGATGATGAAGAACCCAATAAGGGTAGAGATTGATTAAGGTGAATAGATTGGTTGAGTTAGAGATTTACAGAAGTTGAGGGTTCCCATCGACTCAGGCTTAAGTTCTTTGAAACCCAAGCACTAGGTTCCTTGTAACCCAAGTACTGGATTCCTTTGAATCTAGCACGCCTAGGTTCCTTGGAGCTCAGGTGCGGATTCTATGGAACCTAGTGACAAAAAATTTTAAAAAAAAAATTTTCTGTGGGTTTGGTTGTTAGATGATGATGAAGAACTCAAATGTAGAGATTGATTGAGGTAAATAAATTGGTTGAGATGTTAGAGATTTGCAAAAGTTGAGGGTTTCATCAAACCCAGAACCCATGGTTAATTGGGTGAATAGATTGGTTGAGATGTTAAAGATTTGCAGAAGTTGAAGAAAGGGTTGAAGAAGGGAAGAGGAAAATGAGGAACGAAAAAAAAAAAAAAACTAAATTGTTGTGGTAGAATTTCAGCTCACAAAAGGTGCAAGCTGGATTTGCCTAACATGTAAAAAAATCTGAGTTGACATAAACACGTCAATAGATGATGAAGATTAATAATGCATGTGCCGCACTTGACTTTTCTAGTATTAAATTTTGTTTTATTTCCCTAAACTCAAAAACATAAAAAATAAAAAATCATATATTATAATATAAAAGGTAAAATACCTCAAATTCAAAAAATTTAAGGGCAAATGAGTACCTTTTGCCCTCCAAACACGGCAAGTCACTTAACGGGAGAGCTGACTGCTACGCAGGTATAATAGTGTCGGTTAAAATACCAATCTGGAGTCCCTCAACTTTTAAGATAAATATGTCCTTAAACTTTAGACAGTGTCAAAAGTGTTCCTACACTTTAA